TATCTGTCAACGCATGGTTCAGAACACCATTGCCAGGGCAGAATAACAATGTACTTATGTAAATTACATAATATTTACAGCAGGAATGAGAGACAAACTAACCTTGCTCATTGTTTGACGGATCAAATTGGCGGTTACATTTAATGAATGATCCTCCATGTCTACCTTGGGCCGCTCTGGTAATTTAGGACCAATCAGAGTCTCCGTTTCAGCTGCTTCATTCAAAAAGAACGCTTGTCCCTCCAACTTTCTTTTTCTACTTTCTAAATGTGTAGTCCTTGGCATAAATCTAACAGATGGTGACAGGTTCTTCTGCCTTTCAATCAAATCTCTCTCTTTTTTATAAGATGCAGAGGATGCACACTGCTTTGAAGTTTCTGTGACGGGAGGGATGGCATTATGTAGAGAGCCCATCTTATCCTCTCTAGGTAATGTTGTATCAGTGGTCCACTGCAACTGTAATGGCTGTGCAAAACCGTGAAGTCTATAAGAAACATCCTCTGCTGGTGGCAATGGCAGCACAGGAAAGCCCATGTCGTCAGAGTTCCCATTCTCCATTCTGGCCTTTTCAGAGCCTTTCTGGATCTCAGGTGCTGCAGCTGTTTGTGTGTCCGTGCTTGATGACTCTGTGCTTTCTTCTAATTGCCGATCGTGTTGTTTTGCTAAAAAAAAAAAAATCACGTTATATAGATTTTCTACAGATGTAACCTATTGGGAGACAATTACAATACCTGTATTATACAATACCAAATACAATACCTGTATTTTGGCTTGCTCTGTTAACATATCTTCTCCTGTCCTGTAACTTTTGTCTCGTCTCTTCCACAGCTTCATACTCGGGGGCATAGCAGACGTGCAGCTGACCCCCAAAGAAGCTCTTTTCATCAGTGTGCCGTTTAGCTACCCTGAAAATGTCCACATTGTAACATACACATGTCATTTCATGAGAAAAGAGCCTTTGGAGTCCCTCATGACCATATAGGTTAAAAAATAACTTAATAAAAATC